GAGAGAGAGAGAGAGAGAGAGAGAGAGAGACAGAGAGAGACAGAGAGGTACAGAAATAAGCATAAAGAGCAAAAACGAGAGAACACTGATAATAAAGATAAAGAATACAACATGACCATGGCATCTCGTTTGCTTTAAAACCACTACTATCTGAGAATTGTTTTTGTTTCTCCGGCTGTTTACGCAGAACAGCGCAGAAGTCGTGTTGATCATTTAGTATTCAGTGTTACACAGTGCCTTTGGGTCAGCCTGATGAGGATAACACGCACTCATGCACGAGGAGCCCACAGTGTCTATTCGGAGTTTACATAAACATTCGGACAACAGCCATTGCATTTGCATAATTAGTCAAACATGTTAACCAGTGGTAACTAGTAGTAAGGCAAGGAAAATAAACTAGATAAATGAATAAAAATTTGTAAGGAATATATAACTGATTGGTAGATATGTTAACAAGATAAAGTCAAATGGAAGACGACAGATTGACCAAAAATAGAAGCATAAGGATATAAATTTGATAGTGACGCGATTGTAAGATTAATTATGCTCTTGGGTCGAATAATTCTGAATACATTGTGAGTCATGCAAAATGATTGAAGCCAGATGCGGATTTTAATGCATAATTTGTGTTTTGATAAGTCTAAATATGCTTTTTGACTTGTATAATCTTTAGTATTTTTACTGTTGGTGGAAGGAGTGCGATATATATCATTATTATCGCCACCGTCAGTACCACCAATATTATCAATTTTATATTTTTGTGATATAAAGTTTATATTCGCGTTGTTATGTTATAGGTATTGCATTGCCATTACTGCCATTGTTATTAGTAATCATAATATTTATAATAGGGGAATCCATATCCCTATGTACAGAGAAGACTGAAGCGAAGACTGAGAAACGTAAAACCACAGCAATACACAGGCAAGCGAGCCGAAGGAGAAAGCGGAAACATATTTAAGAATGCGGAGCCGACCAGAATAGACAATAAACGTAAAAGCGAGTTGCGAACAAAACAAGAACCAGAAAAGAACACGCAGAAAAGAAGTGTGAAGGCTGCATGCAATACGCACCTTGATGTAAAAGAAAGTTCCCAAAGCGACGAGTGACAATACAATCAGGACGCTTGAGACGTATAGGAGGATCTTTCTCCCTAGTCGGTCAATAAGGACGTTGGCGAGGAAGGTGGAGATCAGGTTCACCACGCCGACGATAATGGTCGACAGGTAGTTGTTAATGGTAGAACCTGACATCTTGAAGATCGACACGGTGTAGAAAATAACGGCGTTGATGCCAGACAGCTGTTGGAAGAGCATGAGGCCCATGGCAAGCAAGAAGGGTTTGGCATACTGGCGTCTAAACAAGTCCTTCAGAGAAGAGGATTCTTGCTTTGCTATTTCGTAGTTCCGCTGGATGGCGTCGAGTTCAAAGTCCACGTCGGAGGCTGATCCTCGTAGCCATTCTAGCGAGGCTTGGGCGTCTTCTACGCGATCTGTGGCGAGAGATTGGTGTCAGGGCTGGGACTCGGAAGGAAGGGTGGGGGGGTCATGGAAACTGTTTGAATTAAAAAATATTTTTATCTAGCTGATCCTTTTTCCGGTAAAATGGGTATTGTGATATCAGCGTGAGTAGAGTGAAAATATTTCCACATTTTCTAATCATAACTGTATATCCATACAAGTGAAGGGTACTCGAGAAAAAAAATACTTCTAATCTTTTAAGTTTAGGAAATGCTTGGCTGATCACGACCTGTCGACGAGCTTACCTCTGGAGATGTACCATCGAGGGGTCTCGGGCACGAAGCACATCAGGGTAGTAAAGATCAAAGGAATAATTGACCCCACGAACGCTAGCCACCACCAGTTGACGTACGAGCCAACCAGGAAACAGACGAGGATACCTGCGTAAAGGAAAATGGGGTTACGTTTACCATACGGTGTAGACGATGTAGAGTTTTGGACGAGTAAGATATGTGAACGATTTCTAGTCTTATTTCTCTCTACTTCTTTCTTTGATGATTCTAGATTTCCGCTCTGTGTTTCGAAGCTTGCCAAAACTGGTCTAAGTACCTAAACTTATATCCTCGAGTTTGTAAACCCTAAATCTCATCTCATGAGCATATCTGAATGAAAATTCTCGGTTGATATGTGAGTAATCAATTAATATATTATTAATTTCTCTACTTAATTATAAAAAAGGTCCTACGTGAGATAATCCAACTAATAACAAAAAGTATTAAGTTTCCAGAACTATACAGCAGTTCCTTTCGTCCCAACACCCAGGCGCTGCAGTAAGGGTCGCTCTGGACTACGTGATAATGAACCCGTCATACAGGTGCAGCTGCTTCATACTCATGTACTTTAGTTACAACTAGGCGTCTGTCGGCCGACGTACACGAGTACCTTTTCTTATTTATGTTTCTTGAGTTTTACTTGTGTTTGTGTCATTCTACATTGAGGAATGAGAGTAATTGAAGAATGGGTAATGGGTGAGTGAATAAATAGGCTACATGGTCTGCAAATATAAGAGACGAATGAATAAAAGTGAGTGAATAATAACTTATAACAAAATTATGAATAAAAGATGAGTGAATAAATACCCTAAATGGTCTACGAATATAACAAATTGATGAATGAAAAAAGCGAATAAATAACCAACATGTTTTACTAATATAACAAAACGGTGAGTGAACGAATAAACTACATGGTCTGTAAATAAAAGAAAAGGATGAATAAACAATGTGTGAATGAATAACCTATGAATATAATCATGGCAATGATACCAAAACCGGGCATAGGGAACCTACTGACCATGATCCTGCCGAAGGAAAAGACCGATACAGGACTAACTTAAATTGCCGATGAAAACCCGAGGATAACGGAACTAAACTTACTTAAATTACCGATGAAAACCCGAGGATAACGGAACTAAACTTACTAAAATTACTAATGAAGACCCGTGGATAACGTGACTAAACTTATCTAAATTAGCAACGAAGACCCGAGGATAACGGGACTAAACTCACCAAAATTAGTAATAAAAAGATCCGTCGAAAACAGGCCTAAACTAAATAACCGACGCATACCCGACAACACCAGACCTAAACTTACCTAAATTACCAATAAGAGGAATAAAAAGAGAAACAAGAAGAGGAAGGAGAAGAAAAATAAGAAGAGGAAGAAGAAGAGAAAGAAGAAGAGGAATAAAAAGAGAAACAAGAAGAGAAACAAGAAGAGGAAGGAGAAGAGAAATAAGAAGAGGAAGAAGAGGAAGAAGAAGAAGAAAAGAAGAAAAAGAAGAAGGAGAAAAAGAGGAGGAGGAGGAGGAAGAGGAGGAGGAGGAGGAGGAGGAAGAGGAGGAGGAGGAGGAGGAAGAGGAGGAGGAGGAGGAGAGGAGGAGGAGGAGGAAGAGGAGGAGGAGGAGGAAGAGGAGGAGGAGGAGGAGGAAGAGGAGGAGGAGGAGGAAGAGGAGGAGGAGGAGGAGGAGAGGAGGAGGAGGAGGAAGAGGAGGAGGCGGAGGAGGAAGAGGAGGAGGCGGAGGAGGAAGAGGAGGAGGCGGAGGAGGAAGAGGAGGAGGCGGAGGAGGAAGAGGAGGAGGAGGAGGAAGAGGAGGAGGCGGAGGAGGAAGAGTGGTGGTGGGGGTTTGGGGGAGGAGAAGGGGGAGGGATAGTGGGGAGGTGGTGGAGGAGGAGGGGGAGGGATAACGGGGAGGTGGAGGAAGGAGATGTGGTGGTGGAGGAGGAGGTGGTGGTGGTGGAGAGAAGGAGAAAGAGGAGGAAGAATAATAAGAGGAGAAGGAGGAGGAGGAAGAGGAGGAGGGGAAGAGGGAGGAAGAAGAGGAAAAGGGGGTTTAGTGGAGGATGAGGAGGAGGAGGAGGAGGAGGAGGAGGAGGAGGAGGAGGAGGAGGAAGAGGAGGAGGAGGAGGAGGAAGAGGAGGAGGGAAGGGGAGGCGGAGGAGGAAGAGGAGGAGGCGGAGGAGGAAGAGGAGGGGGAGGAGGAGGGGAAGAGGGAGGAAGAAGAGGAAAAGGGGGTTTAGTGGAGGATGAGGAGGAGGAGGAGGAGGAGGAGGAGGAGGAGGAGGAGGAGGAGGAAGAGGAGGAGGAGGAGGAGGAAGAGGAGGAGGGGAAGGGGAGGCGGAGGAGGAAGAGGAGGAGGCGGCGGAGGAAGAGGAGGGGGGAAGAGAAACAAGAGGAAATAAGAAGAGGAAGGAGAAGAGAAACAAGAAGAGAAAGAAGAAGAGGAAGAAGAAGAAGAGAAAGAAGAAGAGAAAGGAGAAGAGAAAGAAGAAGAAGAAGAAGAAGAAGAAGAGGAAGAAGAGAAACAAGAGGAAGAAGAAGAGAAACAAAAAGAGAAACAAGAAGAAGAAGAAGAGGAAGAGGCAATCGGGCCATCTTCGTTTCCCGGCCATTGTCCATTGTGGGAAAAAAAAGTAAATTGTGCCATAGAACGTTAAGCTGTGTTTTGTGGTCATAGGACTACGGCAGGTTTTATTATTATTAATTGAAATGAATAAATAAATATGTAGGAATGTGATGGTAGATAAATGAATAGGGAAATATAAATATGAAGATTCCACACGTTTTCAGTTATGAATTACATTACTAAAAAAAACTACAAAAGAAAAAAAGAGAAAAAAGTAAAAAAAAATGAAGCTCAAAATCACAAAATACGAAAACAATAAAAACAAAAATAAAAGAATGATAACAAATAAAATAAAATAAAACATAAAAAAATAAAAACAAAATATTCTTACCCAATATAAATGGCGGACCACACAAGAGGATGACCATTTTCCTTCCAATGGCGTCGATCAAGTAGCCCCCGATAAAGCTTCCCGTCAGGGCGCTGAGGGGCATTAGGGATCCGATCCACGACTTCTGGTCCTCGTCGACAGTCAGGGTAGAGTTTGGGGCGTCGAGGGAGGCGAGAGCGGGAGAGGTGTAGGCCGCACTAAAGCCTACAGCCATTGAGCCTATGGAGACCGATACAGCTGCCAGCACCTAAGGGTAAACAAGAGAGCATGGTTGGTGATTTTTGTTGTTTTGGTATGGGGAGGTGTGGGTGTGGGTAAGGGTGTGTGTGTGTGTGTGTGTGTGTGTGTGTGTGTGTGTGTGTGTGTGTGTGTGTGTGTGTGTGTGTGTGTGTGTGTGTGTGTGTGTGTGTGTGTGTGTGTGTGTGTGTGTGAGGAGTCCTGTGTGTGTTTCGTGTGAGGGAGGGGGGAGTAAGCCTACAGGAAACTCCATCAAAGAGTGCATATACAAGAGAACATAAAATAAATACTTCCCAACACTACTACTAAAACGTCACCATTTTACACGGAACCTGTTAGTCTGACAAATATCTCCACCATATCAGAACCTTGCATCATGTAGGTTCATGCCACTCCATTTCAATTCCTTTTCAAGGTAGAAATGATGAAACGTCATAGAGCTGTGACATCACTATACCGCGACCTTGCTCCCTGGGATGAACATAAAGAGGGTTATCTGACCAGCTGCAGTCTCTGACGTCATCACACATTACCAGAGGGTATGGTGGGAAATGTGTTTTATCTGTCATTATCACGCTTGTTGCTTCCTTTAATGGCATCATGGCATCGTGTGGAAAAATAAAAATCGGGATCTTGCCCCCTTACTCTTTTCTCCAATTTTATTAATCTGCTTGTTGCATTGTTTTATAAACTATGGTGAAACTATGGGTATTCGGCTAATTAGGCGACGGTAAGTTCCATAATCATTGTAAATTTTCACATCTTTACGACATTTCCACGGCAAACGATGACGTTTCGAAAAAACGACGATGAAAACATTGAACTGCAAGTGAGACGGAAGCTTATACATTAATCGAGTGAAAATGTGTGTTGATTTGAGTCCTAGCACGTCTCTTGGTCCCATCCGTGTCATCCCGAGGTCTGTTCTTGGTATCCTCAAAGGAGTTTAAGTTCTTTCCCTCGTCGTTCTCAGAATGCCTTGATTTAGCTTCATTGGCCCTCCCGGAAATGATGTAAGCAGGCGGAAGAGATGTTCGTGACAGGCCACACGCTTTACTTAACTTTGACGAACAGTGTACACAATCATTCATAAACTTTCCCAAATTCACGCAATTCATTTTATGCATCATTATTAACAGTAAGGAAGAGTGGGCCAAGGGAAAAAAAATAGTTCGACTCGATGCGCCATAGTAGAAGAAAACATATGTCGCAGTTGGCGCACACCTCTCCCCTGAGGGTAAACGTGCTCTCCACGTGGTTGCTTTGGGCGCATTGTGACAAGAAGGAAGCTATATGGTTGGCTGACGGAGGATGGAGGTGTTGGGTTGATGAGAGGCGATGAATAGAGAATTATTAGATTGAAGGGTTAGAAGGGATAGGGCTGATGAGATTGATTACTAGAAAAGAAAATTAGAATGAGGAGTGGTTTTATTCATTTCGTGAGGAGGAGGAGGGCGGGACAAAAAAAAAAGTGTGTTAAAGATGCGCTTAAAAAAAAAGTCTTGTCGAAAGCAACTGTATAGGATTAATAATGTGGATTAATAAATCATCCGGATTCCGAGTTCTTCCCGGAAAGGCGAGAAGTGCCAGAGATGCTGCGGTTGAAATGAAGAAGTCTCGTGTCACAGGTGTCGGCGAGGCAGGTGCGTCTCGTCACGTCCGCTCTGGTGTGGGAACCGTCGCGCCGTTGCCACAATCGGCTACAGGGGGGAAGGGTGGAGGAGGAGAAGGGGGGGGGGGGATGGGGGGGGGAGACAGGGAAGACTCCGTGACGGACACTGTCACTTGTGCCTATTACGAGACTCATTTTGTGAGGTGCCTTTTTCGACGTCATGCCCCACGGACGCTCCCGTCCACAAAGCCCTCCCCGGCCCCGTCTCCGGATGACGTCACTCCAGCGTCCCCGAGATCGTCCTCGTGCGAGTGCCACATCCTGGCCAGGGCCCTCGGTGCCAGTGACAGATGGCGCCGGTGGGTCTCTGGGGCGAGGAGTGAGCGGTCCCGCTCCGGAAAACTGGGTCTTAACCAGATTCGATTTTTAGAAACGTTATGCAAATTCTCTGATTCCTTTGTTTTAACCCTATTTACTTAGTTGTGTGCAATGTGCATGTGTATATACATATACATATATGTATACATACATATATATATACATATATATACATATATATATACATATATATATATATATATATATATATATATATATATATATATATATATATATATATATATATATATGTATATATATATATATATATATATATATATATATATATATATATATATATATATATATATATTTATATATATATATATATATATATATATATATATATATATATATATATATATATATATATATATATACATATACTCAAAGACACACACATATGTGTGTGTGTGTTCGCCTGTGTGTGTGTATGTATGCGTGTAAAAACAAGAATTTTCAGCCGCTTGCACCTCCCCTTCCATACCATCCCACCCCATATACGCCTACTCGGAGGCAGAGCATAACGCACACCAAAGACGTCACGCACGTAAACGACCTCTGCATCCAAAGTAGCCCGTAAGGGGAGCCCTGAGGCGCCGCGGGAGGAGGCTCCGATGACGGCATCGTGACACCGCGAGTCGGACGCGTTTCGCCTTACACCCTCGACGCTCGCCTGCTGCCTGTCCAGGGGCGGCCTCCGGTCTGCCTCGCGTGACGCTGGGCAGGACTCGCACCCGAGATCGGGGGGAGGGAACGATCGCGCTTACTTACATTCCTGCATCTGGACAGTACATGCTGTTTATATGTTGGACACACACACACACACACACACACACACACACACACACACACACACACACACACACACACACACACACACACACACACATATATATATATATATATATATATATATATATATATATATATATATATATATATGTATCTGTACACGTATTAGAAATTATCATACTGTAAGAATTCCGTTCGAAGGAGACGTAAGATCAGTAATACAATATTAATTACACGTCGGTAATACATATGTATATAGAATATGCATAAGTGGTGCCACACACAGAGAGAAAATATGGATTTCCGTGTCCCCGTATGCTGTAATCGTGTGTGTGTGTATGTGTATAGAAAGGTAGATGGAGAGAGAGGGAGAGAGAGAGGGAGAGGGAGAGGGAGAGGGAGAGGGAGAGGGAGAGGGAGAGGGAGAGGGAGAGGGAGAGGGAGAGGGAGAGGGAGAGGGAGAGGGAGAGGGAGAGAGAGAGAGAGACAGAGAGAGAGAGAGAGAGAGAGAGAGAGAGAGAGAGAGAGAGAGAGAGAGAGAGAGAGAGAGAGAGAGAGAGAGAGAGAGAGAGATAGAGAGGGTATGCACATGGATAAAATAAATACACATAAAAACAGAAAATTATTAGGTACAATTAGGTACACAACAAACAAACATTAACATTACAAGTACCTCTACATCTATACCCCACCTCGCAAACGAAACACCCCATGTAAACATACAAAAAAAAAAAAAAAACGATTCGGCGGAAGACAAGAAACAGACTGAAATGCAGAAGAGACCTACGTGATACAGACCAGGAAACTCGGGAGCATCAGCAGGTCGCGGTATTCTGATCCTGCGCCTGTGGTCGTTCAGTGGCAGGCGGAGTGGAGTGGTGTGCTTACGTTGCAGTTTTTGTTGTTGTTGTTGTTGTTGTGACAGCAAAAGGGTCGCTAATTTTTGGTGTGTTTTTGTTGTTGTGACGGCAAAACATTGCTATTTGTTGTTGTTGTGATGGTAAAACGAGTTTTTTTTGTTGTTGTGACGACAAAATGTCGCAATATTTTTGTTGTGACGGCAAAACGCTGCTATTTTTTGTTGTTGTTCTGACGGCAAAATATAGCTATTTTTTGGTATTTTTGTTGTCGTGACGGCGATACGTCCCTATTTTTCGTTGTCGTGACGGCAGAACGTTGCTGTTTGTTGTTGTTGTGACGACAATTGTGTGTATGGACGCGTTTGTTTATGCGCTGTTAGTATGTACTGTTGTATACTGTTTGTGTTAAGGAAGTTTAAAGGTCAGAAAAAGGACGTGGAAGAAGAAATGAAGAGGAGAAAAATGCTATTGTAAAGTGGAAAGGAAGAAAAGAAGATAATGAAAGAGAATAGAAAGTGGGCAGAAACGGGATATATATAAAAAAAGAGAGTGAAAATAAACATGAATGAAGAACATGTCACAAAGACCAGAATGAGGATACGATGACATTTCTTCACGAATGCATCCACGTGACCTAATTGCATGGTTGTTCCGTGTTGCATTTATCCTGAGCAGATAATGATTACTTGCAAGTTGTTTGAAGTATTGCATATATCCGGTTACATGTACCTACTGGTGGGTGGGTGGGGTATAACCTGATGTCAGTCACGAAAGCCAGGCTAGTGACCCTTGTCTATGTCATGCAACCTGTTACAAATTCGCATAAAAAAGAAGATAAAAAAAAGTCCGTGACGGTAATTTCACAGTTATTTGGATGCACGATGCAGATACGGAAGGAGAAATGTCTTTTAATAACCTTTTTCTTTGTGATTTTTCCGCCAACGAGTCGGGATATTTTATTTAATTTTTTCTATAGTTATTATTATTATTGTTATTATCATTATTATTATTATTGTTATTATCATTATTATTATTATCATTATCATTATCATTATTATTATTATCATTATCATTATTAATATTATCATTATTATTATCATTATTATTATTATCATTATCATAATCATTATCATTATTATTATTATTATTTCTATAAATCTACATTTCTCTACAACACTATCCCCATATAATATCCTATGCATTAATCAATCTGTGCAATCTCACAATCTTCGGTCAACGGAATTGCGAATTTTTGTGCAAATTCGTATTGGCGCAGGAACCTAGAAGAACTCGCAAGGGTGAAGGACCTCTCCCCTCGCCTGTTCTTGCCCCTTGCTCCTCTTCCTCCTCCTCCTCCTTCTCCTT